ATAGCTGAGCTGGAATATAAAATCTAGCATTGTTGGATAAAAGACATAAACAGGGTTCTGGACAGCTCCAAGTGGAAGTGAAGCTACCATCTCGCCAATAGGCAAAACTCCAGTGTAACTTCACTTAGATTGAACTTCACTTCACTGAAGTTTTAAAATGCTGCAACTCAGAGGCTTTATATATCTGAAATATATATAATATTTGCAACATACGCAGCTGTATCCAGGGGTGGGATCCTACCAGTTTAACAACCGGCTTGCTAAGTGCGGGCTTCACACACTGCACGCATGTGCACAGTTTCAAGAAAACTCACCTTCTGGTTTGCTGCCGGCAAGGAAAACAGCTGCGGCACAGCAATCTACTCTGTCGTGCCGATCAGCTGGGCTTCGGAAATGGAAATATAGGTGAGTATAATGCATCCCACTTCAAAATCGGACCGAACCGGTTTGCTCACAGATGAAGTTGGAGCTAACAGTTCACCCGAACCAGTCCAAAACAGTAGAATTCCACCACTGGCTGTATCAGATTCTCAGATTCCATCAATGACCTTTTTATAAATTGCAACAGTAGGAAGAGTGAAACATAAAGTCTATCCATGAATTGAATTAAAAGCTAAAAGTGGGTTTACTGTTAGTATTCAGTATTGTGTTATTATCAGAGAGAGAGAGAGAGAGAGAGAGAGAAAGGGAGGGAGGAAGGGAGGGAGAATTCCATCTGTTAGCAATGCTACCTAATCATTCGTTACATTAGAATAAAAATACAGTGTCCCGTATTAGAAGCAACTGCAGGAAGAGGTGCAATTGGCTTCAGTGATTATGGAAAATTTCCAAAAAAAAAACAATCTGATATAATCAAAATATGGTTATCTCTTGACAGATCCTAATTTACTATTAATTGACATATGATTCAGTGTTTCCAATTTTTTTGGTGGATATGTCAGCTTAGGCAATATCACCCATCTGAATTTTACTGTACAATATTATTGCTAACATCTGCCTGAATCAGTTTTATTGTTTCTTTCTTGAAGAAATTGATAAAGTTTTATCTACTATCTGCATATGCAGTTCCTTTGCACCTTGGCTTAGGTTTGTTGTCCCTTTTTTAGCAATTGGATTGCAACTGAGGAGTCCCCATGAATCCACATAACTTCAGTAGCATGGAAGAACGTTTACAGTTTCACCTGATAAATCAGTTGTGATAAATCTTTACCTACTTGGAGAAGAAAGACCATGCCTTTATGGTTCATAAAGTGGTAATCTTATTTCAATTATTGTTAATGGGGCAGAACTTGAAGGCAGTCTATAAACTGCAACTGATTTAGGATGTGGCAGTATGCATGGTGAATGGTTTCTCCAGAAAATCCCATGTTTTCTTCAACAGGTTTACATATTATCAGTTACTTTTTGAGCTTACTTTGAGTATCTCTCATTGTTTTTGTTGTGAATAGCAAGTCAGTATTCATAATACTTCTGCCAGTCTTCCTGGCAGTATCACTTCCTGGAGAGATACATTTTTTAACACATATGCAAAAGACAGATTTTTCCATACTCTTCTTCATTACTGTATTGAAGAGATTTAAATCCTTTCAAGACAAAAGCAGAACTTCAGGGACATTGAGATATAAATTGCCGTGTTTGAGCTGGGGGTGTACCATCATCCCACAATTCTGATAAATTATCCCAGAAGCTGGACGAGGTCCAGGAACAAAGAAATTTGCTTTTGAATTCAAGTTCTCTCAAGGAATAGCAAAACAGTTATGTGTTATGTTAAATTTAATTTATTTATTCTATGTAGATGTTAGAAGCCATAGCTTCTTTGGGCATCTAGGACATTTGAATAGTTTCATATGGAATTTAACAAATTTCTCTTTAATTTCTTGGGAACTGATGTATAACTTGAAATATGTCCCTTTTTCAAGTTTACTAATATTAGAGGATCAGGACTTCCAGCTTTTCACTATACAAACCAACTGTGCTGTTATAATAGTACAAACTGTGCACTGCTTAAATCCAAGCTACTTACTACTTCTGCTACACAACCAACAACACATTGTTAGGTCGTCAGTGGGGTACCTTTTATGGGCTTTGTCACAAATAGCATTTGACATCAAGGTCTTTTTTTTCTTTCTCCATGGTCTCCATATTAAATTGTAAACTTCCAGCAGTCTTAATGCCAGCTCCCAACTTTTAACAGTAAGGCTTAACCCAATTGTTTAACTAAGTCTCTCAATGCTACTGATTTACTTTCTGTTTTTTATTTACCACATTTAATAATGCTCTGCTAAATCCTATGCATTTTCAAGAACTGTTAGCAGATTGTATGACATATAAATCTTTTAAGCAGACAGAGATGAAGTACCAGAATATTGCTTATTTTCTTTCTGCCTCTGTTGCTTTACCATACTGTATCATGTCTTTTTAAATGCAAAATGCCAACTCTTCTGAATATTTTGCTAGAACATGGTTTATAAACTTTTTAAACTTTTTTAGAAAGTCTAACATATGGCCACCATTTTCTAAATCATGACATAGTTAAGGAAGATTTGGCATTGCTGCTCCCATCATGGCCATCTCCTAAGGTTTCTGTTATTCTTATTGTTAGTCATACAGTCACCAAATGTTTAGACTGGATTTTGTATTTTTATATATTTCTATTCCAACAACCCAGCGCCTGGGATAGGCACCTAGGATTGTTTAATAATATTAAAGGTATTCTCACAGGATGTAAGCTGTTCTAAGTAAAGCTGCCTTTTGTAATTATTATTATTATAGTTGGTTACACAGTTAGCCAGATATTTTAGGCTGTATTTGGCATTTTTCCACCTATTCAGTCCTTTCCAAAAATCTAGGATAGGTAGATGTTGATGTTTGATGGTCTTAAAGGTATCATTACAGGATGTAAGCTGTTCCAAGTAAAACTGCATTTTGCAATTGACTGATGGGATTGAACCCAAATACCTATTATTATTGGTATTATCTTTGCCTTTATTTTGCCTCAGTTGTTTTACTTCTATTTTCAGAACTTTGTATTTTGTGATTTTCTCTAGTTTTTTTCTCTTTTCTTCTGATGTCTCCCCGTACTGCAATGTCCACTAGCCAAATGTTGTTGTCTTTCTTATTAACAATTGTTAAATAAGGCAGGTGTCTGTCTATTTGAATTTTAAGGTCCCAGAGCACTTTAGCATCTTCATTTTCTATTTGTCAACTTTATGGTCCAACCAGTTCTTGCTTGTGGTCAAATGGTATTTTTTGCAGATATACCCATGTACCATTGTTGCTACTTTTTCATGCTATTGTTTGTAGCCAGTCTATGCTATCTTCTTGCAGAAACTAACTCCTGCAAGTTTCTTCAGCTTCTTTTACAGAGGTAGCATTTGCTGTCTGTGCTGTCTTCTCAATTCTGGCTTTGCATGCCTTTCTTGTTATATTTTTATCTTGCTTTTATAGACATACACACACATATGTATACATATATACATCTGGTCAATCAATAAGTCATAACTTTCTGGTTTAAAGGTAGCTATGATTCAGGAGGGGATGAACAAAACCCAAGAAACAATTGCGAATAATCATGAAGAAACAAAAAAAGAACCATGAGGAATTGAAATCAGAAGTAGGACAAATAAATGATAATATTTAAAAAATGGACGATAAGATCGAGAGAATACAACAAAACATAGTTAAAAACGAAGAACGAATTCAAAACATGGAAGCTAAAATGGTCCTAACGGAGAAAAAGATGGACAATATCGAACAAAATCAAATGGAGTTAAATAGAGAACTCGAAGAGTCAATTACCCATTTAGAATTAGAAAAAGCATCATTCTTTTTACGATTTCAAAATATCGCAGAAACAAAAGGAGAAGATCTAAGAGACGTGATGACAGATATATTAGTAGAGGCTACCCAGAAGGAAAAAAGCAATATTAGTAGGGAAATTGACGAAATATATAGAGTTCATACGAACTATGCACGTAGGAACAAACTACCTAAAGAAATACATATTAGATTCGCACGTAAAACTGTAAAAGAAGAGATTTACACGTCCATGAGAGAGGGAAAACCCTGCTACCAAGGGAAAGAAATAATAACCCTAAAACAAGTTCCAAGAAGAATAAGAGAGTACAGAAAAAACTATAATTTCTTGACAACCCTACTGAACCAACACAAAATAATGTTCCGCTGGCTGGTGCCGGAGGGAATCCTAATATCTTGGGACGACAAAAAATATAAAATCGATACGATAGAGAAGGCACAAGAATTTTCCATGGCGATGCTGCGCAATTCCTCATTGGGATCTCCCTCACATCTTGCTAGGGACTGAGAGTGTGCTGTGCCTTTAAATCTTCTGCTGGCCACTCCTCCCTGGCTCCTCAGCACGGCAGTTTATTTCTCTCAGTCTTAGTGTAGGGACGTGAGTATAGTTTCTCTCACCTCAGTGAGACCTTTTTTTTGCCTTTTACTAGAAATTTCTTTTATGTGCTGTAAATAGTGTGTATAGTGTATATAGTTGATAATTTTACTGATTAGTGATAGCGTGGGAGCGTTTTTTCTCCAGAGAGGCTGCTGCGGTGGCAGCAAGCCCCTGGCTGCTGCCGTGGGCGCCGTTTCTAATTAACTTGGACGCCCCGGCTTCTTTCAGCAGCGATCAGAGCCTACCTCATTGGGAGCTCTGGACAGCCCTCGCGCTGTCTTTTGCTTGCCGCCGGCGCGCGTTTGGGGCCGCTGGTCAGCTGGTCGTCCCGTCGCCGCCATTCTGCTCCCAAATTAGGTGGCGGTTGCAGAGTACCTGCTCGGGGGCCCCGAGTACACACTCTGCCTGATCAATTGCCTCGCGGCGCTCAAGGGGCAGAAGCCTCTCGCGCCTTACATTTGAAAGATTTTGGCTGAATGTTGGAACGAGATCGGATCCTTACAGCTGCTGATCCTTAAAGTTAATTTTGTTGCTGGGAAGATCTGCTTTGACTCTGGCGAGGCTGCGCTTTCAGGGGCGTTTGTTTCCTGGCGCTTCTGGAATTCCTCAAATTGAAGGCTGCGTTGGCGTGAGTATGTGCCCTGTCAGGGGAGCTTCTGCCATTAATTTGGCGCCCTTTTTGTTGCGGCGGCCATTTTGAGGGAGAATTTTAGTGCCTGTACTGAGGCCATAATTTTTCCCTTTCTCCTCAGGATTGTCCTTGGAGACTCCTGGTAGTCTTTAACCGTCATGGCCGACCAGGAATTTTCATCTGACCCTGAACAGGCCCCAGTTCCTCCTAGGCCTAAAAAGGCCTCAAAAAAGAGGCCTGCTGCCCAAGCTTCAACCTCTTCAGCAAGTCAGCCATTATCTGTTACAGCCAGGGAGGAACAGAGGAGACACAACGCTCTAGAGAAACAATTTTCCAGGGCCCAAAAACAGGCACAACTCATGGGGGAGGTAGTTCTGGAACCTTCCCCTCCTCAACCGGATCCATTGGCATCAACAACCCAGCTGGCATCACAAGATATACCTTCTGATGTACCTCAGGCACCCATGTTGTCTGATAGGCCGGGACCTTCAGCGTCATTTACACCCACGGCAGCTGGTCTCAGGCCTCAGGAGGCTTTAGGTTGGCCACCACATTTAGACTTTCAAGCCTTATTCACAGATGCACTGGCTAAGGCAATCACCTCAGGCCTTCAACAAGGGGGACAGCCCCAGTTTGGGTATCATACTTGTCAGATGCCAGCTCCTTCCAGGCCGGCTTGTGGACATCATCCTTCTACGCATCCTCCCCCTCCTCCTCCCCCTCCACCCCCTCCCCAGCCGGCCCAGGCGATCCAACCTTCCTTAGAGGCTCCAAGTGAGGTTTCATACTCAACTGAGGGAGAACAGGTTGAGCCAGAGTTCTCAGATGATGAGGAAGTGACCCCTGAGAGACCGGCCTTTGCCACCTTGTTCAGGCCAGCGGTCTTTAAGACTTTACTCAGAAAGGCTAAAGCAGTTACAAACATGGGTACCATCGTCAATCCTAACCTTCAGGGTTCTTCTGATACACAACCGCAGGACGAGCTTTTCGCTGTTCCTGTTCCTGATCATGACTATATCCCGTGCCCTGATTTATTTAAAGAGGTCATTAAAAGGCAGTGGGAATCGCCCGGGGTTCTTTCGGCTCCCAGCGGGCACGATAAAAAGCTTTATTGTGCTGATCCGGCCCTGGAGGCCCTTCTCAACCTTCCATCAGTAGATTCTCCTGTGGTCAGTCTATCCTCTTCAGCTGTCTTATCATCTGACACTGTGGAGGTGCTGAAATCTGATGAACGTAAGACAGAGGTCTCATTCCGTAAAACGCACCAAGCCGCGGCCTGGGCAGTGAAAGCTGCAACATCCGCCTCCTTCTTTAACAGAGCCACCTTAATATGGCTTCGGCAGTTGAAGGAGAGGTTGCCACCAGGGGACACCAGAATTGCCCAGGATTTCAACAAATTGGTAGCCGCTACGGAATATTCGGCGGACGCATCCTTGGATGCGGCCCGGTTTGCAGCCAGGGCCATGGCTTCTTCCATCTCATCACGTAGACTCCTGTGGCTTAAACCCTGGAAGGCTGACTCCAAATCAAAGTGGAGATTAGCATCTGCCCCTTACCACGGGTCCTCTTTATTTGGGGCAGCATTGGATCCAATTTTAATAGAGGGGAAAGATAAACGTAAAGTCTTGCCTGTTTCTTATAGTAGGCAAGAGCGCAGGTTCACACCTTATAGTCAAAGGCAGCCCTTTCGGGCAGAGTCAGGGCCTAGGGGGTCCTATTATGGTCGACAGTATTCACAAGGATATTCACAAGGATATTCACAAGACCGCTTTGCAGGAAGGCAGGGCAATAGCGACAGAGGGAGGTTCCAATCCTCTTCCAGACGACCTTTTAAGGGAGCCGGAGCCGGATCCCGTTCTTCCAGAAGGGGAAAATGACTCCCTCGAACTTTTCCCAATCGGGGGGCGGCTTCTTCACTTTCTACCCCAATGGGAGACCTCCACTTCCGATCCTTGGGTTCATCGTACTGTGGGGGTAGGATTGACTCTGGAATTTTGGACCCTTCCCAAACGTGTTTTTGTTCATTCCCCAGTACCCCGACGTCGAGACAAACTGAACAATTTCAACTCAGAAATCCAGCACCTTCTGCGGATTGGAGCAATAGAGGAAGTTCCTCTATCGCAACGGGGGAAGGGAGTCTATTCTCTCCTGTTTTTGGTGCCCAAGGCCTCGGGGGGGGTGGAGGGCCATCTTGAATCTCAAATACCTCAACAAGTTCATCAGGTACAAGAGATTCAAGATGCAGTCCCTCCGAACCATTCTGGGTTGCATTCGGAAGGGGGATGTTATGACTTCCATCGATTTGCAGGAAGCTTACTTGCATGTACCAATCCACCCTCACCATCGCAAGTACCTCCGCTTTGTGTACAACAGCCAACATTATCAGTACCGGGCGATGCCCTTCGGGCTTTCGTCTGCTCCGAGGGTGTTCACCAAACTGTTAGCAGCGGTTGCTGCCACCATTCGGTTAATTCCAATCCGCATATTGTGCTATCTCGACGATATTTTAATCTTGTCCAATTCCCCCCTTCAAGCTCAGCAGGACATGCAGCGGGTCTGTCGGGCCCTGGAACTCCATGGCTTCTCTATAAACCACAAAAAGAGCCACCTCTCCCCGACCAGGTCCATCATTCATCTGGGAACCCGCATCGACTCGAAGGCGCTTCAGGTGTTCCTCACCGAAGAGAGACGGAGGAACATCACGGATGTGGTCCGGCATACCCTGGCCTTGAGGCGAGTGTCTCTGATAACTTTATCTCGGTTGCTCGGCAAGTTTATTTCCTGTTTAGATATAGTTCCGTGGGCACATCGTCACTCGAGGCCACTCCAGTGGTTCCTCCTGCCCTTCCAGCGCCGGGGCCTGGGTTCTTCCAAGATCGCAGTGTCGCTTCCAAGCCCAGTACGGGAGTCTCTCCAGTGGTGGATGTCGGAAGCTCTCTCCAGGGGTTGCCACTTCCACGTGGTCTCCAGGTTAGTGATTACCACGGACGCCAGCCTGTCAGGCTGGGGTGGTCATCTGGGCTCTCTGGTGGCCCAGGGACTCTGGTCGATGGCAGACTCTCAGGACAATATCAACGTTCTGGAGTTGAGAGCCGTGCGTTTGACACTGCTACATTTTCAACAGCCCCTCCGCCACCGGCATGTCCTTGTCCTCACGGACAATATGTCAGCAAAAGCCCACATCAATCGGGAGGGGGGTACTCAATCCCCTGCTCTCATGAGGGAGGTGGAAGCATTGTTGGACTGGGCGGAGCTTCATGTGTTGTCTCTGAGGGCGGAGCACATTTCCGGGAAGGCGAACATCACTGCGGACTGGCTGAGCAGACAACATCTGGACCAGTCGGAGTGGAGGTTGCATCCCGACCTGTTTCGGGAGATGACACGTCGGTTCGGCCTTCCCCTGGTGGACCTCTTCGCCAATCCGGACAACGCACAACTACCGAGGTTTGTCACACGCTTCCCTTGCCCAGGGGCCGAAAACTGCGACGCCCTGAGGAGTCCCTGGCCTCAGGGCCTCCTTTATGCCTTTCCCCCCATCCCACTGATTCCAAGGGTGATCCGAAAACTGTTGTTAGAAAAAGCGGATCTATTGCTGGTCGCTCCCCACTGGCCTCGGCGCCCCTGGTTTGCCGACTTGGTAAGCCTCTCCGTAGATCGACCGTGGCGCATCCCCCAGGATCAGATCTCGCTCAGCCAGGGGGCGGTTCTACATCCAAACCCCCAGTGGCTGCAATTAGCCGTATGGCGCTTGAGCGGGTCCGCCTAAGGAAAGATAACATCTCAAATGACGCCATCCTTACCATCCAAGCGGCCAGACGTCCGTCCACTGTCCGAATTTATGACTCCTCCTGGAGGGCCTTTTGCCTTTGGTGTGCCTCTCAGCATACAGACCCTACGTCCGCATCTGTACCTGACGTTATAGACTTCCTCCAAGCGGGCCTTGCCAAAGGTCTGGCCCCTTCTACCCTCAAAAGACAAGTGGCTGCTTTAGCAACTGTCCTTGTGCCAGGGGATTCCGGCTCGCTGACTCTGGATCCCCGTATTCGTAGTTTTTTAAGGGGTGCTACGAATCTCCGGCCTCCTCCCATTCGTAGATACCCTACTTGGGACTTACCTCTTGTTTTGAACTCTCTTACGATTGCTCCTTTCGAGCCATTAGCCTCTGTTAGCCTTAAGTTTTTGTCTCTGAAGCTGGCCTTTTTACTTGCCATCACGTCAGCTCGGAGGGTCTCTGAACTAGCCGCCCTGTCGATTCGCAGTGACCTTTGTATTTTTAAACCCAATTTGGTTGTCCTTAGACTAGACCCCTCGTTTGTTCCCAAAATCAATTCGGTTTTCCATAGACAACAGGAGGTTATCCTCCCTGACTTTTGTCCTGAACCCCGGCACCCTTTAGAGACCCAATGGCATACCCTCGACGTACGCCGGGCACTACGCCGTTATATTGCCAGGACTGCCACCTTTCGTAAGTCAGAATCGCTCTTCGTGTCCTTCCACCCGGCAACCATGGGCCAACGGGTGTCATCTCAAACCATAGCCAGATGGATCAGGGCCTGTATCTCCGCGGCCTATGGCGCTAGGGGCAAGCAGGTGCCAGGGCGAATTTGGGCACATTCAACACGCAGTGCAGCCACGTCGGCGGCGTGGTCAACTCAAGCGTCTATCCTGGACATTTGCCGAGCTGCCACGTGGACATCGTTCTCACCTTTTGTTCGCCATTATAAGATCGATACATTCGCCTCTGCAGACGCTTCATTTGGCCGGAGGGTATTGCAATCTGTCCACTCTCCTGGGACCCTGGGACCCAGCCAGCCTCCCCCCCCCAATAGTCGGGTGCTTGGGCATATCCCAATGAGGAATTGCGCAGCATCGCCATGGAAAATGAACGTTGTCTCACCTGAACGTTCCTTTTCGGGGCGATGCTAAGCAATTCATCCCTCCTCTCAGGCTGTCTGGGACGGGAGCGGGTTCTTTCCTGTTTTTCCTCCTCAGACAACGACTACTATGGGGTACCTTCGAGAAATAAACTGCCGTGCTGAGGAGCCAGGGAGGAGTGGCCAGCAGAAGATTTAAAGGCACAGCACACTCTCAGTCCCTAGCAAGATGTGAGGGAGATCCCAATGAGGAATTGCTTAGCATCGCCCCGAAAAGGAACGTTCAGGTGAGACAACGTTCATTCTTTGACACTCACTTTATAATAGAAGAGGAACAGGAAACTAGACGTGACTCAGAAAATGCAAACCAGGAACACTCCATGGGGGAAACAAAAAAAGAAAAAGAAGAGAAGGAGTCTAGGGAAAGGGAGAAGATGGAGAGAGAAGGGGCTAGGGGGAAAACACAAATGGTAACAAGAAACACAAGTAGACTTAGACTAACAAAGAAAAACTAAAGGAAATGGGATGAGAGTTGAAATTAATTTCAATCAATATAAATGGCCTTAATCTACCAACCAAAAGAACACACACTTTCAGAAAACTTCAAAAATTAGACATAGATATTATCAACCTACAAGAAGTACATATCAAAAAAACAACATCAACAGTTACTAGAAAATAGAAAACTTGGAACATTATTCACCTCACTATCAGATCAAAAAAAAAGAGGTATCGCAATATACATTAAAAGCCATATCCAGGCAAAACAAATTTACACAGATGAAGATGGCAGGATACTAATGATAGACATTAAGATGGAGACCCGAAATATGTTATTGATATCAATATATGCCCCGAACAGGAACCAAAAAGAATACTTCAAAAAAATACATGATAAAATTAAAGAATTAGACTACGAACATATATGTATAATAGGGGACTACAATGCAATCGTTGATATGGACTATGACTACAAAAGCAACAAAAAAAATAAATCTAGGAAAAAGACACTACCTGATACCTTTAAGGACATGATTCAAGAGTTACAATTGAAAGATGCCTGGAGAGAACTGAATAAAACTAAAAAACAGTATACTTATTACTCAAATCCCCATCAGTCCTGGTCCAGACTAGACATGGCCTGGATGACTGCAGAATTAAGAGAAAACATAAAAGAAATTGAAATCACACCGAATGTATGGGCGGCCCACAGTCCTATAACAATAGTCTGGAAAGGCCAGCCAAAAAGAGGACGATGGATGATGGATAGAGAGATCATTAAAGATAAAGAATATATAGAGATGATAAAGAAAGAGATGGAGATATTCTTCCAAATAAACAATAGGGAACAAACATCACTGCAAGTCCTATGGGACACTACAAAAGCATACATAAGAGGATTAACAATCTCATTTAAGGCGAAGAAAAACAGAGAGAAACAGCAAAGAAGAAACAATTTATTGATTGAGCTCAGGAAACAGGAAGCAGAATTACAGAATAGACCCAACAAGAAAGAGATCAAGGGGAAAATAAATCTTATTAAACATGAAATAAACCTAATAACAACAACAGAAATAGCTAGGAAAATCAAAATGGCAAAACAAAACCAATTTGAATTTGCAAATAAAACAGGACGTTGGTTGGCCTATAAACTAAAGAAAGAAAAGGAAAAAAAATTAATACACCAACTACAAGATGAACAAGGGCAATTGCAACACATGGATGAAGAAAAAAAAGCGAATCGTAAGAAATTTTTATCAGGAACTATATGCACAGGAAGAAATCCAATTGGAAAAAGTAAAAGAGTATATAAATAAATCCAACATTCAAGAAATAAAGGAAACTCAAAGAGAACTCTTGAACAGACCAATATCGATGTCAGAATTAATTGAAGCAAAGAAGAAGCTGAACAACAATAAAACACCAGGCCCAGACGGCATCCCAGCGGAATTTTACAAAATCGAATACCAGCCAATAGATGATATTTTATTACTAGTCCTGAATGAAGCAATCTTAGAAGCCAAAATTCCTAAATCATGGATTGAAACAATCATTACACTGATACCCAAAGAAGACTCAGATCTCACCCAAACTAAAAACTACAGACCTATATCACTTCTAAACGCAGATTATAAATTATTTACATCAATCATGGCCCAGAGAATGAAGAGAATTATCGTGAATTATATCCATCCAGATCAAAATGGATTCATCCCAAATAGGCAAATTAACAAGAACACAAGAACAATAATCAATATACTGGAATATTATGAGCAAAAATCAAACGAAAAGA